CCCTTTATTTTTTTCCATCCTCTAAGAATAAAGAACAGGATGTGGTTTTCACTTAGAGGATGGAAAAAGAGTTTTCAGGACATAAAGTTAAATCAGTTCTCAGGGCCTCAGAAGCCCGTGGTCGATTTCTTCCCACGGTGAGGCTAAGAGGAACCCACGGGGCCGGTCGATAGTGGTAGGCTAGAAGAAGAAGAGGGCGAAAAGGACGGTGTTCCGTGCGGGCTCATCTTGGTCTTGGTCCGGCCGAGCGGGACCGCGCGGATGCTGGGAGGAGGGTTGCGGAGGCAGAGATGTGACGTTGCCGCTCGTCTTGTCCTCCGCCAGTCTGGCGAGGCTGTACTGCTTAGGGTGATGCAGTGGCAGTGGGGTCGCGGGTTGAGACTCGCGTCGTTGCCGCTGGTCCTATCCTCCGCGGTCCAACATGGGCAGTTGGCCCGTGCGTTGAGCGCTCTAAGGGACTCGGATGTGAGTTAGATGTTGCGGCGGAGCCAGCCAATAGACCCGCCGCGGGGGCTGGGAGAGCAGCCACTGAACTTCACAGTTGAGTGGTTGCTGTCCTGGTCCCCCATGGCCCATGGGTAGCGGACTCGGGGGAGTTTGTTGCCCAGCATAGAGGGGCCTGGGATGGAAAGTTCGTCTGGTGATCAGCGAGCCTCACATTTGGAGTCTGGGGACCGATGTGTCTTCCTTCTCGCTGCTATGTGGGGCTGCGCAGGATGCGGCCAGCCGCTGATGGGGGCGCGGACGAGTGCAATAGCGTAACCGTACCTCCATCTGCAGTGAAGAGGAGGAACATTCAGGTGGTTTAATGTGGTCGGGCTGCTTCCTTCAGGGTTCAGCGCAGTCCCACATAGTCCCGGCTCTGCTCCCGCGGCGACGGGGAATCTGATAGCAGATGTCCCCGGGTCAACAAAAAAAAGAGTCTAATAAAAAAGCGTAGGTTCTAGAGACACGTAGAGATACGTCTTATGATATGAAATCATAGATAAAAAATGTTAAATCGCCACTAAAAAAATATTGAATATTTGATAGCAGATAAATACAATATATATTTACTCAAGTTTTGAATTTCTAATTTCCTTAAAATTATAATTAAATGAATTACAAGGTATTTACCTAAATGAGACTTCATTATTACACTATTAAGCTTTAATAGAAAATTATGAATGCTTCACGAAGTCAGTTTTGTAATTTTCCATAATTATGATTATGTTCTTACATGAAATTGTTTGTTATATTAATCTATGAAGCGGAGTTATGCACCGTCTATGCAATAACAGTATCTACATTCTGATGAGATTATTGTTGTATCTATTCATCAGCGGTATTTTATAATTAACCGTTAATATTTTTCTGTTATTTCTTTTGAAACAAATATTTACATGGCGTAAATGAAGTTCCTACGACGATATAAACAAAGCTATATCTAAAGTAGTAGATTGGTTCGCTGTTAATAACCTGCTTCATAATAAGCAAAAAAAAACAAATTGGGTGAAATTTACATATTTACCTAATGTTAAGCAGACGGACACAAACATTATGGTTAGAAACGAAAAATTGAACCTTGTAGATACAGTTGTATTTCTAGGTGTAACTTAAGATGCTAAATTGCATTGGGGTCCATAAGTAAGTCAGTTATCAAAACGCAGCTCTGCAATGTACGCGATTAAAAAATATGAACTTTCAGAAGTCGAAACAGCCAGATTGGTTGATTTCAGCTTTCAACATTTACGAAAATGTTAATAGTAATATTTTTATTAAAAATAGTAGCAGACATAAGATTAACACGAGAAATAAAAATATATAGTCTGATTCAATAACATACTGATGAAAATGAAGTCTGGGTAATTATCTATCAGAAAAATTCAGTGGAATTTTATATTTACCTACTTTTAAAACCCCAGCAACGATTAGCACAATCTCTAATGTCCACTCTACAAAAATACCACTCTACCGAATCGCGTTGGTACAAAGTGACGTTCCGTTCCGTTCCGTTTTTTGAGTCTCACTCAAATTGTGTGGGATCCACCGAGAGCACAGCTTTTTCACACCCAAATTATTGATTGTATTTAACTCATGCCTATGCCTAAAGATGCCCGAATCTCATGGTATGTCACATGTCTATCTGTTTTGATCATACGGCGCACAGCATCGATGTTTTTGTTGTTCACAGCAGTGGATGGGCGACCATTACGGAATTCGTCACAGATTCACACGACCGCGTTTGAATTCTGCAAATCAGCTATAAATAGTCGTCTTGCATGGTGCTTCATCGTCAAAAGCATATTGAAGCCGAGCGAAGCTCTGCTGACCTGTTAAATGACGCTTAAAGTCGTAGAAAATCATACTACGAAAATTTTCACGAGCTAAATCGATAAAAAAAGTATATTTTAGTTATAAGACAGAAATAGTTAATCCAAGAGCAAATTAATTTACTCCAAGTCACAAAGCCACTCTAGATTCATCAAAATATTTATTAGTTATTAGAAATGTCCGATTTTGACTTGAAAAAAAAAGAATGAAAAATTGAGAGGTACTTAATTATTTGACTGTAGATTTATGTTTTCTAATATCAAAAAGGGTAAATTTACAGGGTTCAGGACCCAATAGTATGTCTCACTGGTGTGAAAGCACACAGCTCAGCGCCAAATCTTAAAGTAGCAGAAATTGGACGGAATCTCTTAAATACTTGAGCACGAGCAGAAAGCACTAACAATTCAAAATATATGAGATGACTTATACTATTGAAGTCATCCATCCATCTAGCAGTGGCGTGATGGAACTAATTGCATGTTAAAGTTGTGCTTGTTACAAGTGTAGTTTGATTTCATAGAGAGTAGGTACCTATTGGTCGCGATGAGTACCAAATAGCTATTTTTGTAACTAATTTGTTTTACATAGACGAACTAAAATTTATCAAAGCATTCCCTTGAATTATTCTTGAATATCCTTGAATAATTTCACTTGAATTATTTATTGGTCCATGGCAATAGTGTAGCCGATTGCTAAAATCTGTTTAAGAAAACAAAGGTGGTGCCTGCATTAGTGTTGGTCTCTATCACGGAAGTAAATGTGGTCTGTGGTCTCTATAGTACAACATGTCGTAGAAGATTCTTATTTAGCATGTTTTTTTAATGAAAATGAGTGAAATTTTTTAGGAATCGGTATTTCATACCGCATGTTAGACAATGTATATCCTCAATTTATAACCGACTTCAAAAAAAGGAGGAGTTTCTCAATTCACGACTTTGTTTTGTGCGATAACTTTGTGAACCGATTTTGATGATTCTTTTTATTGGAAAGGGGGTCAGAAGTGATCCCATTTAAATTTTAATAAAACATTCCACCTGCAAGAGTGGCAAATTAAGGGACGAATGACATTTGAGGTCGGTTTTTTTAGTACTCTGTACTGAGATTATTCAACTCTTTATGATTATTGCCATCATTTATAGCCGTACGTTCAAATTTTGTGACGTTTTTTTATTGTATGACACAACTATGTACGTAACCTTTGTATGTTTACGATAACCCTGTAATCGGGGAAATCGTAATATTGACGTGGGTTACATTGATATCGAACGATATGCTCCTGTGCATTCATTTCGTTTTTCAACCGTTACTGATATTGAGCAGGGTAAAGGCGTCTCTTCGTTTTCTTCACTCATCGCATCGCATTTAACGGCGCTACAGGCCAAGGTCTCGATCTCTTCCAGACAACCTTAGAGTTAGAGGAAAGCTAATCGGAGCGGGAGACGTAGTGTGCCAATTTTACAAATATGAAAATATAAAATTGTATTAATTAAAAAAAATACAAAATAAACAATAATAATAATTCTTGATTTCATGATATTATTATAATTTAAATATCAATTACAATAGTCATAGGTACAGAAAGAAAACCGCGGCAAGCTTATGCTTATGCTTAGGCTGACGAGTAGCCTTCGGGATGCTTCGGAAGACTTCCCAAGGTAATTCACCCAAAATCTTTTTCTTCTTGGTGTAGTTCTTTTTCTTCTTCACGTTTCACGAGTACGTACCTTAAACGTTGTGAACTGAACTAACGGATAACTCACGTATTTAAGTGATACGAACTATTCGTCACGGCAGTGACTCTGTGGACACGCACTCGAAGCGGCCTAGAAAAAACAGTGTAGACGCCCATTGAAATAAACAAAATACACAGGAAATATTTTTTTCAGATCTAATCTTCGTTGCAGTATATTGTTGGCGTCATATCGTGCCATCTTGGTTTTTAACCGAGTTCAAAAAAGGAGGATTTAAAAAAAATGTATGTTACGCGATAACTCCGGTATTTGTGAACCGATTTTCATGATTCTTTTTTGTTGGAAAGAGGACACCTCTATAGTGGTCCCATTTCATTTTGAAGAAAATCATCCACCTCCAAGGATGGCTGTTCACGCATAAAGATTCATTTTTATAAACAGCGTCTAAATTTAATTATAAGGACCAATTATTTTTTTTATTTTGCTATTCTCCAATTCAAAACCCTTTTCTCTCTCAATATACTTTGAGTAGTGAGAACCGATTTTTATTATCTCCTGTGTCAAGTCCCGTATAGTGGCGAACTACGGGATATTTCAATAAAACTTGGCAAATAGACGTAGTTCCACGTACTTTTGAGGTCGGTTTTTTTAGTACTCTGTATAGAGACGATGTTGAGTCTGTCCAAATCCCAACATGAAATTTACTTCCACGTGGGCGTGGTTAGGTTCATTTCAAATTATTCCATCCAGCCACCCTCATTGCATATATTTCATTGTGGTTACAAACAATAAAGTTCAATGATTTATACTACTTAGGAATGCAAATGAACAAAAAATAAAAAATCTGCTTTTGAAAAAGGAAGATCGTATCTCTTTTTTTCAATCCTCTATGGTATTTTGCTAAAGCAAACACGTTTTCCTTTTTAAAACTTTGCGTAGAAAGAAACATATTGAAGAGTTGGCATTTTTGGCATCTGCCAAATTCGCTCGCTCGCTCACTCCTTCTTACGTTTGGCATGTGAGGTTCCAGTGATGGATTGATCGAAAAATAAAAATCTAAACAGAAAATAACTGAATAATGTCTTTAGAATAATTCCTATTTGCTTCAAATATCATTTGTGACAATTCGTGCGGTAGTTCGTGGTAAGAAATGGCTTCACGGGGCGGTATTATGGTGACGGGTACGAATGGAGCAGACTTTGAGCATAGGGAGAAAATAGCAGCTCAATATCAAATAAGGTGAGTTTCTGACGGCTATTCCTTCTTTGCAGTTAACGGGGAAGTAGTAAGAATGTAAGTTTATTGTCACATTGTAATGCGAAAGTTGTTTCGTGTCGTTATGTACCGCCAAATTATTTTTAGACAAGCGATCGATAGCAAAATATTCGCGCCTTTTATTTAAAAAAAACCTTGGCAGAATGAATTAAACTTTGCTAGTTACATTACAGATTTTTCACCCTACATTTTGATATTGGCTTGAGTACATAATGTAATTCTCTGAATTGTTGTTGGTCAGTGATTTTGATGACAGCAATGTTATGTTTCCAGTGCTTTGAACAAGTCGAGATTGAAGTACTGCATATTCTTTCATCACTCTCTGTTTCTGGTGATGCTAGCAAAGCTTTCTTCAGATATACTGGATAAGCTTGACATCTTTATATTGGAGATAGAAGAGTTGCAGATACCTCAGGTAACAGCTAGAGTTTCATCTCACTTGTTATCCTTTAATTAATTTTGCCATTGTATCAACTGTGTTATATGTTTGCTGTACTCTCTACAGAGCTGCTCCAATACAAACGGGTGGCATCCCTTTATTGTATCGTAAACCAAAGATCTTTACAAAATTTCCTCGTTGAGTTTGTGCCAAAATGCAATTCAATGTTAAATCACTTACTAAATAGCTGCTGACATTGAACATAAATCCTATTTATCATTACTTTACTTCTATTTAATTGTTGTGTTACTGCTTGTGAACATGTTTCCATTCTGTTTGTTGTCATATTGATCACTGTTCTCATTCAAAATGAATATTTCAACAATTTATTTTACTGAATAATACAAGACTCAATTGCTTACGTGTTCTCTTGCATTATGGTTTTACTTTCAAGTTACATATAAAATAAAATTACAATGCTGTGTGAGTAGGAACCATATTAAGACTCTGAAACCTTTAAGTAGCCGCAGGCATGCAACTCAATTTTCCAGTTGCATTTATGTCTTTCTATAAAATAACTTACAACCACAAATGGTGTAGTTGTAACTTCTGTTAGTTATGACTACTGGTGCATAGGTAACATGCAGACACAATGCAACTGCGACAACTGCATATGATTTGCTTTCTGGTTTATGTTTGTGTATAGGATTTAACATTTTGTCCTTAGTTTTAAACTGGCTTCCAAGTAGGATGCTTTTGTCCATATTTTAATCTTTCTTAGAGTTTAGGGCCACAATAAATATATTGTGAAAAGTATAAAAAGCTTTGAAATATATGTGTAATTGAAAATGAGAATGTTAATGTTGATTAGATATTTAATCTGTGTAACCAGAAAAACCTGAGTTTTGCCCTGTGTATTTTACTATTGAGAATAAATGCTGAATTGCGAATGTTTTTTACTATTACTGCAGCTGATGAAGGTTGTTGTTCCTTGGAAGTAATAATAATAATAATGCACACACTCAACATAGGGCTATGTTGGGTGCACTGGGGAAATGAACGGGATTGTGGTTCAATTAATTCAGTATCATAATTTTTATGATTACATGACTGTATCTTTCCATTTTTAACTGCTTATAATAGTTCTTAAATAGTGGATATTAGAAAGTCCTTAATGCTGGTTGCTGGCGCATCTATCTTGAGTCAATCTGAAATTCGTAAAATATGTAATCCTTCGTAGAGGCCTATGTCTAGCAGTGGACCGCGATAGACTGATGATGATGATAGTTTTACAACCCATTTATTAGGTTGTAGATACTAAAAGTTTACAGTGTCTATGTGCTGAGAATCTTCCGTCTAATTGTAATAAACATTACAATTAGACAGAAAATTCTCAACTCATAGACACTGTAAACTTTTAGTATTAACCCAAAAATTTGTGCTTAAATGTTGCGTGTGCTGGTGAATGAGTATGTAGCTTGTATTTGCTAGTGATAATTAATATGTGAAATATATTTAATAATTAACGAGTGCTTTATATCACTGTACAGCCTGCACTGTAAAACTGTAGATCAAACAATTACGATTTGAAAACTGTGTTTTCCAGCCTCTTTGGTGGGAGTACATCTGGGGTTTATCATTGCTGTGCTCGTTTGTGGCTCTGGCTGCAATCAGGCGCAACAACATAAAGCTGATACGAAGATACATGTATGGTATTACAATAATGGGGTTTGGTCCACTGCTGTACTGCGTGCTCTACTACTGCGGCGACGTGTGGAGGTACCTCACTAGAGACGACGACAGTGATGATAGTTCCGAAGTGGATATAGAGATGTGGCAGGTAGTAAATTATGATGAATGATAAATAAACCAGAAATGAAAACCAATTTCAACTCATCTACAAAAATATTTTGAGAATATAGATCACATGATAATTATGCTATTATAAAATGTTCCGAGTTCTAGACTAATATATAAACGGTGAAAAAACGATACAGGAACGTGCGCGGATTTATTCCAATATAAAGGGATAAGGAGATGACCTTGAAATTGATATGATTTAAAAAATAGTAGTTAATGATATGATTGTAAATTGTTTCTATTTCGAAATCCAAATATCGTCGGGGATAGTGCATACCCGCGTATGTAGTATTGGTAAAATGCGTGTGTCTGCTCTAATTCAAATTTAATAGTAGAGGGATTTAACGTTATTACTTTGTTATTTCAATGGCTACGACTTTGTTTACGAGTTATTTTTGCACAGTAAAAATTTATTTATCTCGTCACGTTACGTTGTTACGGGCTAATAACAATAAATTCCCGTAAATCACGCTGATTTGGTTACCACGACGTTTATTCGAACTTGATTTGGCATCTAAATTACCAAAATGAAGATTCATAATGAAATGCTAATTACGCTTAATTACACTATACCCGACGATATGTGGATTGCCATATGAATTTCTATCACAGAAACTATTAGGTCCGTAGCAGCTATGAAATTGCCGTTTTATATAGAGAGAATTGTAAAAATGAAAATTAATGAAAAGTATATATTTAGTTAATCCAAATATTGACCATTATTGTCGATGTACTTTTGCCATTTTAATGGAAGTTCATTGATGCCTCTGCTATAGGAATTGAAAGGAACTGTGTAAAGGCATTTTTCACTGCCCCGTCGGATTTGAAATTTTTTCCCTGTAAAATTTATCCAAATTCCGAAAAAAGGTCTAGTGAATATGGTGGGTGACGGAGAGTTTTCAGTTGTAACTCCTGTAGTTTTGAGAAGGTCCGATGTGCAGTGTGGGCAAGTGTTGGCGTGGAGAATGAGTCTACTAGAGCAATTGACAAGTCTAGGTTGTTTGACAGCCAGATTGTCCATCATCACTTTCAATTCTTCACAGTGCACCACTGCAGTAATTGATGTGCCAGGTCTCAAGAAGCTGTAATGAACAATACCGCTATAGGTCCACCATACACACACAAGCAGCTTTTGATTCAATTTGCGTTTGAGACATGGTTTGACTTCCTCCTGTGTGGTTTCGATTATCATACGAGATCCACTATTCATCACAATTGACAATCTGATCTAGAATTCCCTCATTTGAGTGCCTATCCAACAAGTTAAGGCAAGCTTCGACGCGATTTTGTTGTTGTTGTTCAGTGAGTTCATACGGCACACACTTTCTTAGGTTTTTGTCATTCCAATTTGAGGCAAATGAATCAATATCGTATTGTCACTTACGTTGAAGGCTACTGCTAATTACGACGTGGTTTAAGATGAATCTGCTTCCACTATACTAAATTCTTCGTTATCATTATTGAGATCAAAATTTCCAGAATGGAAGCGATGAAACCAAAAACGCAATGCGCTCTTACTTGCGTTAGCTGGTCCACACATATCGTTGATATTGCGTGCCGTCTGTGCTGTGCTGGTGCCACGACGGAACTTGTATTCGTAAAACAGACGCAATTTCGATTTTTCCGGGGTCACAGAAAAAAATAATGAATAACTGATTTTTTAAAGCAAATATCATTATATAATTGTAATTTTAATTTGAGACTCTAAGTAAAGTGAAAGATATCGAACTTCAAACTTCCCAGTATTTACAATTGGCAATTTCATAGGCAAGGATCTAATATTAGATTGTTACTACTATTGACTAAAGATCTTTAAAATAATGTCATCGAGTAACATTTTTCCAATGGCTTTGTGGAGAGCAGCATTTGTGCAAAGATTGGACACAGCAAAAAAATAAAAACAGTGCACCACATAATGTGACAATGTTAGCTATTATTTATATATTGTTCCTTTATCCAGGGATACCCATATGGATTACTATGGTACGCGTTCGTGATGGTGGTGTCCCAGGTGCACTTCTTCCAGCTCTACTTCTCGTACAACTTGCTCAAAGCATGGAGAGCCAGAGGCGCACTCAGGAAAGCTGAGTAAAAACTATTGTTCATTCTTCCCTTATTTAACGGATTCCATATTCGTCCCTTTATGCTTCCAACTGACTGATTCTACAATTTTTATTCATCCCTTTTATTTATTTAATTTTTAGGATTTATTATGTGGTCTGAAATAAGTATAAGTAAGTCTGCTTTGGCGAACGCGTTATCAGATTTTCACGAACCTATATTTATAATTCTAAAATTATAAGCATATTAAAAACAAAATGTGACGTTTAAGAAATCAGTCAATTTGTGATGAAATAACAAGATTTATTAATTTAGGACGAATAAGGAATAATTATTCTGTAACTGTTATTCTTAACGATTTTTTTCAAAACATTTTCGTCTTTTCTAATTGATTGGTTGTTGGTAAAGTTATTTTGATAAACGATTTATTTATTACACTGCCACGGGATTTAGTTTAAGTGACGTATTTCTGAAATGAACATTTGAAGGACAGTAGGAATTATGTATGTTGCGTAAAGTACAACAGTTTAAAGCTAGGACTATACTTATTTCGGTTATAGTAGCTACTTGGTAGTCCTTGAACATGTAGATTTTTAAATAATAAGTCGTATAAAGGTAGACTTTGCCAATATCATATCTCACGTAGTAACGTGTACATAATTATCTTTCAATACAGTTTGGTAGCATTGTCACTTGGTGTCTATTTTATATACATACATTTTAATGATTCTACAAGTACTTTTAGTAATATATGTTTTAGTAATATAATAAATACTTTTAGTGTATCAAGCGCAAATGACATTTTAAAATACTTTTATAACTAATTATTTCTCAAATTGTATTTTCTTCACTTCGTCAATGAGGATTTTAATAAATAATTTATGATAATTTAAATTATATGAAAATGTGAGTCTATTGACAAACTGTTTTATACGGCCTAAGTGAAAATACTTCTGTCTTTTTCGGGTGGTCTTCATAAAATGTTAAGGTGTAAATAAAATAAATTATTATTTACTATTGTCCACTTTAAGGGTGTTAAGAGTTTGTTTTGTTTTGAAGTTTTCCCTAAGCACTTGTTTTCTATTAATAAATTTTTTTAAATAATCGTTGTGTTATTTTAGGGATCTCTGACCTGCGTGATTTTATAAATAATTACGAAATAATTATATTTAAAATTAAATTTTTCTTGTTGACTAAAGATTCAAAGCGAGAAGAAATTGTAAGGGAAGTTTTAAAGTCAAAACACGGTTACAGTACGTAGAACATAGTTTAATTTCGCTACTTTTTACATTACTTTATATAAAGTGTTAGTTTCTAATACATACAGTCTCATGCTCATCAAAAGCTACACCTGGGGAAGTTCTTCCATTTCATTCTGAGATACAAAAACTACTAAGCATCAAGGCTGCGATGCTCGTACCTTTGTACTAACTACAATTAAATGCATAAAGCTATTTACAGCACATTTCAAATCATGCGAATTTATAAAAAAAAAACTATTATTTAAAATTTAAAACAATTATTGTCTATGCGTCTTAAAAATATACTCTTACACGTATTGTAGTAGAATAAAGTCGATTGTGAATTATTTATCAGAATGATAATCGTCACTGGCAATCTGACAGTTAATAAAGGAGATCCTTAACCGCAAATAACTCTATTACATAATTGAGTGATTACCGGTCCACGAATTTATTCTCTTTGTGCACAGCAACAAAGGGCAATGAATAATGTAATTTGTAATTACACGGATGCGCTTCAATCTGCCCTTTCAAGTAACGTTTGACGCTTATTCTAGTGTGTTTAGGAGAACATCAATAAAGTAAAAAAAAGCAAATTGAAAGCACATGACAAAGGCAAGCACCAGTGGATAACACAAGACAGGTGCATGCTTCGAACCCAAGTGAAAGCGCTCTGGTGTAATTGCATCTATACATAATATATTATTTTTATAAAATAATGAGATAAAGACTAACATATCATAAGTCTATTTGGTATTAATGACGCAGTTCCAGGTTTATCGTGAATTATTTAGATGCAACTTTGACGAAATTTACAGCGCTTGAACTCGATTTCTATTTACATTTATTCTGTTTGTTGTAATTGTTACTTCTGTCTACTGCTGAGATATATCGAAATCTATTGTGGGAAATTCATTTGTTCTACAATATTCTACGCCGTAAAGAAATGCCGTTGTAAAGTTGTCTCTTTTTGAACGATTACATAGAAATAGTTTATGATTGCGGGAATCGATAGGGACTGTATCGCGTTTTAAAATTCAATTTCTCTAGTATTACAATCCCAACTCACAATATCAAGTTTCCTTTACGGACCCTGAACAGGTGGCGCTAGCTAGCTATTTTGGGCACCAATGTTTGTAGAAGAAATGAATTCTTTAAAGTTTCACACCGTGGCGGGGATCGCTATGAAAGTTTTCAGTAGTCATTAAGTTTGTTCTTCGTCGGCGATTAGCACATCGTCGTCAGAGCCCTCGTCCACGGTGAGCGGGCTGCTGGCGTCGGCCGAGTCGGGAGTCGTTCGGCGCCATTTCGCGCGACGGTTTTGGAACCAGGTTTTCACCTGAAAACATCAATTAATTGTTCATTGTAATTTTTGAATTGTCACTCCTTATACCTGGTGGAGGTAGAACTTCCTTCACTGTTTGTCTTAAGCAGTAGGATCAATAGGAAATCGTCCACCATCAATTACCATTGTTGAACCTTTGCATACAGATGTAACAGTGTTAGGCGAGGAGATGGGTATGAGAGGTCTTACTTGGACTTAAGGTCCATATTTTGGAATTTAGATATTTTTACAAACAATGCTTTATAATACTAATAATCTCGCAATGGTAAAAGACATTAGGTTGTATCGTCGTTTGTTTTTTATACAACATGTTTTATTGAAACTTGAGATTGATTTTAAATGCCTAATTAAGAGCCTCATTCTCTTTAAAACGTTTTGCAGTAAAAACTACTGTTTGCCACTTGACACGATATGTCCTCGTAAGATAGCTAAATAGTATTTTTACAAAAAAAAGAAAAAAATGAAACCTTTCAATTTGCCGCGGATATCCAATTAAATTGAATTGCCATGACGTATGGATGAGAATTTTTTGTAACGAAATTTTACATAGCATAATAAACTTCTTAATTGAGTAACGTAGTACAAATTAGATACGATATTGTAGCTGAGGGAATTCCTAAGACTACGAGAATTCTCTAGAAGGTGCGGTGTCTGCCTTACACAATTGTCATAAAGTTTATTATGCTATAGTTACGAAAATTGGCTGCCTGAATTAAATAAATTGAGTCTTATTTTAGTGACAAATCCCCTTGCAAAGATAATGGTGGAATATTGTGATTTGATATGGAATCTTTATAAGGTGATTGGCGCTCGTTTTTGGTTAATTGACTATTGAGGCTGTCGTTCAAGGACATGCGATTTTTATCTTATAAACGTTGAATATTATGCTTATAATAGTACTAACACCGTTGATAATATGGCGTAAGCTCCATGCTAAAATTTTAAGTGCTATTATGCTCCGTTAGCTTGTGTTTTTAACAGACTTCAAAAAATTCTTAATTCGACTGTGTTTTTTTTTGCATGTATGTTACGCGATAATTCTTATGAACCGATTTTGATGATTTTTTTCTCATTTGAAACATTGTACCTCAGATGTGGTCCCATTTAAATTTGAAAAAGATATTCCATCTCTAAGGGTGGCAAATTAGGGGATGAATGATTTTTCAGGTCGCTTTTTTTATACTCTTTACTGATTTTATTTCTTGGCTCAATAAATGTTATTCCAAATATAGAAAAAAAGCTAAGTCATTGCTACCGTGACCCTCATTGCGCTCAACAAAGTGTATAATAGTTTAATGGGCCAACCTGTCGATCACTGAGTCTGAGGGAGGCGGCGAGTGCGCGCCTCTCATCTGGACTGAGGTACTTGCTGGCATTGAACCGACGCTCCAGGACGCTGGTTTGCGTAGCAGTGAACCGCACCTGCCCTCCTTTGCGACGACCGCTTAGCCCCCACCAACCTCCGCAGCAAGACGGACCACCTGCAATGCATTATATACGTACTTAGAAGGCTTAGTTTTTTTTAACTCCATTGTAGAATAGTTTGATAGATTATTTTGGAAGTACGACTACAATATTCGTAATTATTAATACAGAAAAAAAAAGATTGAACACTAAGAAATATTCCTTACAGTGTCATTCGAACCAGTGCCTTCAGCATACAGTACCGAAGGCACTCGTTCCATTCCAGCTGGATCGAAGGGATTGTTCTTAGTATTCGATCTTTGCGTTAATATTACACACTATTGGAGTAATTTCACAAAAAATATTAAATACCAAGGTAGTAAAACATCGTAATGTTGAACACAATTTAATACCCATTACATTGTTCATTTCGACATGTACTGCATGTGGTAGTGGTTTAACAGTGTTAATATTCTGTGATATGCACCTATAATTCTTATTCTCATTATATTTTTATATAATTTTTATTCTCTTTTTTTATTAATGTGTCAATAGGATAATGAGTAATAAACATTTATTTTGGACGGCCTTATCTGTTTACAACCAGGAAACATTAATTCACCTGTCATTCATAACACATCCATAGTAGGGTACGTGCCAATGACAGCGGAAACTTATGCGGTACCACTACTGATTGGGTACGTTAATTAACACTGAATTTATCCGTCTATTTCGGGAAATGATAGTGGCCTAAATTTTTTTAATGTCACTTTATGTCATTGATCGATTGGTATAATCGATATTGTACCTACTTAAATACATTAGATTGATAAGATAGCTGTATTGGGTGTTAGTAATAGCGATTTATGTTATCGTGCTTTATTAACTATCTAGATCTTTTCTATGAATGCTTAATAGAGCTAATTTTGTAGTCAAACGAAGGCTTAGATTTAATAATGTGTGCAACTTATTGCTTCGCGAACTTATTTGTCTCTTGGTATAGTTATGTGTATTTTAAATTTATTTGACAGCAGAAATAAAGTTATTAGCATTATGTTTCCCTTTCGTTAGTGTATGAAAGTGAAATGAGCTTGCAGGTGTATAACATTGAAAACTAAATATAAAGTTTCAGCACAGATACGAGTATGACCAAACTTATTTTCATTAAATACATCTTATTTTCATGGTGATAGTGCATCACATGAAAGACAGGAATATTAATAAGTAGTGACGATGTATGTACAGTCGTGGAGAAAGTAACTTATGGATTTTTTTTATGGTGTTGAAACTAATAGTCTGATAGCCTGAGAGTAATGAGAAAGTATTTTAATATAATAGAGGCAAAATAACTTAATCGTGCGGTGTCTGTAACAGCGCCGTCACTCTAAAACTGTATTAAAAAAACAGCACTAAAAATTTATTAAAGTAATAGCTTATGAGTCAGTGAGTGATGTCACGATGGTCCTATTTACGTGGTTACGCCTAAAATCCACAAATACATAATATTGCCTTATCATGTTTTGATATTCTACAGTATTTTTATCACATTGATGTAATTATCTATTTTATTGACTGATTGGATCGACACCAGCTTAATACTAGGGATTATTTGCAGTCTTTTTAGATAATGCAAACTTAAACCTATAGAATACTTTATTTTATATTACTTTGGTTTTTGCCATTATGAGAAACATTGTTTTTTTTTAGTATGCAACACATCTTTGTGTCACTAGATGTAAACTTTCGCGCAGTCAGCAAAATTCGCATAGCTCATTTTATGCTATGTATATATACGTAATAAGTACCTACATTCATATATAAATCATTTGTAAATACGCCGATATATAAATAATCTCAGGTACTCTAAGCTAGAACTACTACTTCCTTAATTATCCATCACTATGTAAATTATGTAAGATACAATTTTCAACAAGGAAATTTTATTGATTGTATATTTTAGGCGTGGCTTACCGTACGAATATTGTATACCAATTGCAATCGCGAACAATGTGCAAAATACCCATTAAATAAATGATAATAATGTTTTCATCAAATATAATATTGTTTATTGCAATTTTATGCTTCGGGTTTGTATGATGTTTGTTGTTTTGTATAAGTAATCAGTGCATTAAAATAAATTAAATTATGAAGATTTATTATCGATTAGCACTATACCTAAAGATAAATAAGTACCTACGTATACATTACAATTGGTACTCGTATCAGTGACCCTAAAGGAAATAGTACACAGTAATAATAAAATATGATTAGACATGTGCATATATATTTATTGTTTTATTGGTCTATTCGGATGTTATCAGCTCATCGTCGATTTGTAAATCGTAAAAAAAATATTTATTTGGTAGATAACGATTATGCCTATATCTATCGAATATATTTACGCAGATATGAGAGATTGGTGTATATAGAATACTAGTAAAAAAAAATCACGCAAATAAAAGTAAAAAAAAATGAACTGCATAGTTACACAAGCTTGATTCACGCAGTTATTTTTTTTTGCAATACATACTTTTCTATTTGAATGTATTCTCACCTCTGTCAAATCCCAAAGGCTGTCGTAGTAAGAGCGGATGAGGCAGATAGCTGTTAGTTGCCAGTTGATTCCTCAAAATCTGGTCTGCATTCAACATCGGGTCGCTGAAGTAACTGAACGATTGTCGTGGTTCCATTGGATAGCTAACAATGTCTTTCATCCTAAACGCTGGCACCGGCCAGCCTGCATTGGCCTTTACCGGTGTAGGATAAAGAGGGTAAGTGTTCCGGCGTTGCTCGAGATTAACTTTGGCACTGTTGAGATCTAGTTCTTTCTGAACTTCGCATACTACATTGAATCTGACGGCTTTTTCATCGAGTATAACATTGTTTTTAGGATTCTTATCTTTTGTTCCTTCGCCGACCGCAAGGGCGGTATGTTTCGTCGCTCTGTTGCATGCTAGTGGCTTAGGGGAATCGATACTTGTGTAAGTCTTGTTTTTTACAGAAACGTCGCCAAGTATATCCTTTATGAGGAAGGACTTCTTCTGGCGACACGCGCACATTCTGACGGCTTGATTAGCACTGCCGAATTTATTATCAAAGTGTTAGTATTATCGGTACAAGTACGGTAATTGATAGCTACTTATTTAATGGACACGTCTAATCTATGTGGCGATTAAAACGTATCCGATAGGTAATGGTTACCACTTTGGAATATTTTTGTATGACCATGTTGACAGCCACAAACATTAACTTCGTAGATAATGCCATCGATAATACATGCAAAACGTGTAATCTGTTATAAGTCGTTAAAAGCTTGTAATTAGGCTGAAGCAAAAGATTATGTATTTATCATTTGGAGCTAAAAATGTTTTTACAATTGCTGAAAATGTTTTCTCTATCGCGCATGCAAATATCTGCTTCTTAAGTGATTAACTTGATAGTCGTATATTTAATTAGTCCATTACGTCAATGCGAACCATCATAGGTAAAGTCGTTTTGGCGTTAATACGGTGAAACCAAATTCGTGTAGATTCTCCTCAGCGAATTCTGTCGAAATTCACTTTTAAAATTTTGAGTAAAAACTGCATGTCTTCCTTAACTTGATATTGGCGGAATCATCGATTGTGACGATGATGACTTTATATTAAATTTTCTTAGCGTTGACAATCTGAGGAATTACACGTAAGGAAATTCGTAAGGTTTGATGTCTCGGTCTGTAGTTCAGTTGGTTAAGAGCTGTGGTTCCATTTTGGTAACAGACACTGGCTCGAATCCAGTCAGAAGTTTTTCTTTATGTTTAGTCTTTGTATCAGTTATAACATAAGGAAATATTTACTTAAAGTGATATTAGGAGAAACAATATTGTTTAAGGTACTAATCATTTAGCATCTAGGGGGCCTACTATGAGCTCTTAGAGCAATCCTACTTAAGCTTGTTAGTTGTATTGCCTGTCAAATTCGGACTAGGTATGACCTCACAAAAACAATTCACTGTCCATGCAGTTTACGTTCCCCATTCGAAATCCGTTCGCCTTTTCTTTCATAGTAAAATCGTATCATGACGTGTCATTTGCCATACACATGGCGGTCTCATCTGTCTTTTGTAAGCAATTCAAATAAAGTTACGCCGTGGCTACACATTTAACAAATTTCGTTTAAGTTTTATTATATTTCCAGTTTCATAATTATTTGTTGTCTTTTTAGGCTATATAGCCAATTGTTAATAAATAAATACTATTAATTAGCTATTGAGCGTTTTTTGAATGTTTTAGTTCGAGGTTCCAATCTTTAAAGTATTGTTGATAAATTATTGGCATGAACGTTATTGCAATTTTTAAATGGAATATTAATAATTTTATTGACTTGGCGAAAATCATGAAATAACTTTTGAATAGTGCCAAATTTTACTTTGAATCAATGAAAATGTAGGAATACAAGATACGTTCCAATTATGTTATCAAAGTACGAACTCACCTTATTAATTTCATTAATAATGACTACACATGACACGTAATTTTGTACGTACGTATACACAATTTGTCGTACGTACGTACGTACGACAAATTGTAAAGTATGATTGAAAAGTTGCCGATATTACAAAACAACGCAATAAGTATAATCAATAATAAAATTAATAAAAAAAAGTATAAGTCTTCTCATTTTGAACACAATCGTTAATGGTGCTTGAACACTCCCAGGATAGTACATCTGTCTATTTCTTTCTTATGATTTATTATGTAGTTCCATCTCGCTCTTGTTAGATGTCAGCCAGCCAGCCAGAGACACTAATTAACATATGAAAAGTAAAAGTCATCATCCTGCCATGCCATTCTCGTTCAACTTTGTGTAGGTCATGATACGAATTTAAGCAATTCAGTTTTACTACGTCAAGTGAATTGCATGGAGCTTGGCTGGCTGCTTATAAGCTCATACTAGTAGTCATTTAACACTACCGGCCGTGAATGTGTAATTATATTTAACCGACTTCAAAAAAGGAGAAGGTTGTCAAGTCGACTGTTTTTTTTTGGGTGTATGCTACGCGATAACTTCGGCATTTGTGAGCCGATTTTGATGATTCTTTATTGTGGAAAGAGGATACCTCGTATTGGTCCCATTTAAATTTGAAGAAAATATTCCATCTCTAAGGGTAGCAAATAAATCAAGATTTATCGGATTTCAACCATTTTGCGTTAACTATATTCAATAAATCTTGACTAATAAATTAAATTTCATAAACCTTTGAAGTTCGTTTATTTTTTTTTTAAAAAGATGTATGTTCATTTTCGTATAAAATTTAAGAACCTGTCACTGCATTTCATGAATAGTGGACGCAAAAACCAAATTAGTATTTTTTTTACTTGTTACCTTATTATACAGCTGTATCATTGACCTAAAGCTGTATTCAGAAGTTTCTAATAAAAATCACGTGACGATTTTGGCCTGATATACGCTTTGCCTTAGTGTGCGTGATTCGCCGCATTCATTTTCTTGTTGAGGTCTATAGATAGGCCCTTATCCTAGTAAACTAAATAGTTAATACATACATATGTATGTATACATACATAGTTTACTAGGATAAGGAATAAATATGGATATCTTGTTTTGTATCATGGGTTGGTACCTATTGGAATTGCAATCGTAAATTTTTAAGACTGTATATTCAACTCCTATACCCACATCGTTGGTAAAAGTAAATATAATCCAATTCCTAAAATGTCCTCGTGTTCAAGGCTTGATTCTTAACAAGAGATCTAATCTGATTTTAGGGAATACCCTAAAGGAACAAGTTTTAATAGCAGTTATCTACGTTACTATTTTTAATTTTTTGCAAATACTTACTTATCGACTGTGAACTGGCTATTGGGTCTATCTCAATTTTGACAACTTTACAGTTGAGGAAAAATATTGTTTACGTCATATATAGTATAATATATAACATCTAATTTATTAAATAAAAATACGTAGTTTTAAAATATTTTTATTACATATGCACTACGTAGTTTTGTTTAATAAACCAGAATTTTCTTCATTGTGTAAAGTTGTCAAAATTGAGATAGTACCGGTTGCCAGTTCACAGTCGTTATGTTTTGTTGTACTTAAGTCTGTAAAGAGTAACCTTAAAACATGTTGTTACGACAAGGGCGTTATTTATCGCGCTGTAATTGAAAGATTGCATTGGGGGCAACAACGTGTAAATGGCATTGGAGCTGTACCGACACTGATCTAGTATCCTAGACTGTATCTTGCACAATTGCATTACAGATTTTAACAATATAAATTCAACAATTTGATTAGTGTTTTCTGTACCAGTTTTTTAATACGTTATTGTTCCGTGTCTTTGAAAAAGCCCACATTTCCGTATACCAACATGGACATATTTCAACGCTAAAAAAGTTTGAATTATGATAATAATGTCATAACCGCTGGCCATATGTACCAGAATGTTTAATTTGTTTTTATTGTGGGAGCTGGATGAGGAGCTTCCGGGTTCGATTCCCGGCAGGACCAAATTAAGGAATGAACTTTTCTATATGTGTGGTTGTCTGGCACATTATTATTATTATTAATTTGAAAAAAAAACTCTCCTTTCGGTTGGTTTCGATTAAGCGGCTGTAGCCAGTGCAAGGATTCATGCAAACGTTATTATCATAATTCGACCTTTTTCTTAGCGTTCTTCTAAGTTCGTAAAAAGAGGCTTTTCTCGTAGTTCGTCACGCCAGCCCGACAGCTTTAAAAACCTCACAAGGTGTTCATAAGTCTTTGAAGTAGAAATAAAATCTGGGAGGTAGGTATTACCACTGCGCCCATCATCCTGAGACATAGATTGTCAAGCCTCATGTGCCTGTAATTTCACCAGCACCCATATCCTTCCCGCAGTAATGTTCACATTACTATTTGGCGCCAGAAATATTTAGGTGGCAGTATTTATCTAGACGAACTCTTTCACAAGGAGATCTACGACTACTAAAGTCTCTTCTTTCGCTTACGTCTGATTTCAGCATGTCTTCTTATCGAATTACTGACAATTCAAAGTTAGGTACGTTTGGTTTATCATTCTAAAGCACTGGCAAAGTGAATTGCATCGCGAAATCAACTAAAGCAGCAGCTTGAAGTCTTGTAATATTGAAGAAAATGACCCACTGATCTTCAATAAACGATTTCCGAATGGCTCGAAATCCAATTTCGAGCCATTCTCCAAAGTGTAAATCTAAATTTAAACGTGTTACTACATTCTTCAATACGAACTATTACTGGTCAGTGCACTATAAAATTAAATTAACCGCAGATTTTATTATTTCATTGTTTATTTAACTTATTGTGTTCCACTGCTAGGCAAAGGTGTCCCCCAAAATCTTCCACTATTTCCTGTCTCGATTTCCTATCACTCCTCGATCGTCCCGTCTACACTTCGGTAATCCCCGCCGGCGCCTCTCATCCTCGCGCCTCCAAGGAGGGACGACGTTCGCCCTCTTCTCAGGTTACATCCGGCTAACATGCCACGCCCAATCACGTTTAAGCCTGGCTGTTTTGCTTCCCACATCAGCAATGCCAGTCACAGAACACAGCATTGTATTGCGCGCTCCGTCAATGCGTTTAAAGCTCAGAATGCTGCGTTCCATCACCCCGCTGCGTTCGATCCGGCCGGATTCGAACCGACGTCTTCTAACTTACCGTGCCAGACGCTATACCAACTAAGCAACGGAACAAACCAGTGGACCTCACGAATTTTTCTATGTGCTTGCGTCGTGTGTATTTGTTTTTCAACGACTTTTTAGTCGTAGCGCCATCTATGAGAAATCTATGAAAGATTTATCACCCGGTTAGTACCTTTACAGCTTGGTAACATACGACCAGGACACCAGTCCTGGCGAGATATGTCGCTATTCGCTGTATTTTAAATTTTTATTGAATTGATATTCAATTATTTTTTGTGAAATTACTCCACTAGTTTGTTATGTAATACAAAGATTGAACACTCACAAAAAATTCCTTCGATCCGGCCGGATTCGAACCACTAAGCTTCCCGCCACTTCGAACCAACTAAGCAACTAAGCTTAGTTGGTATAGCGTCTGGTACGG